CTAATTTATCGAAATTTGTGCAAATTACGTTATTAGGCATAATTCTATGCCACTAGTCTTGTTTGTCAACACTTATCTTACGTTAATTTCACTATTGTACACAGTTTTATGATATACAAATTGACTAATAATGAAAATATTTCAGATACATCGTTCCTTGACTTCTAGTACTGTTTTTACATTTGGAATGTACATTAGGATTCAAATACAGTCTTGGATGGACAGAAAGTCTTTTTAACACAGTACAAGTCATTTCACACAATAAATTTTACATAATGTCAAGTCATGGGTTTGACATTTCTAAAATCGCTAACTGAGTTATATAGAGAACTTTAATTTTGATTCCACTCATAAATAGGTATAGACCAAAGGTATGGTGAATTTTAATTATAGTCTTAGTTAATTACAAGGTTTTTATTTATAAGTGCAAGGATAAATTGTTCTCCGATACATCTATCTGTCAAAATCTTGATTGTTTAAATTTCCCTAAACCAGTGCTTCTATATGGTGAATATCATTACAAAATTATACTAGGTGATACATTTTAATTTCCTAGAATGTATTATTGCATTTATTATACTATTTAATTGAAAATTTTACATTATTAACTTTATTTTGACATATGGATTTTATCATGTAGCGATTTTGCTTTCTTATGTATAAAACTTATGCTATATGCTAAATTATATTCTTCATTTCACAAATATTTATTGCAACACATCCCTGTTGTTAAGAGTTCTATATTTCGATGTTACAGTTTTGAATATTTTACTATATTAAGTACTTGATTATCGTTACTGGTCCAGATATCATAACAATACATTCGTTTCTTCACGGTTTCTAATACACCTGCGCCATTACTTTTCTAACGCCCTCGGCAGTAATAATAAAAAGCGGGCATTGTGGTTACACGCAAGGGGATGGGGTTAAGTGCACGTAAACCTATTACTGTGTCATTGTAATTCGTTAAAATATCAAAGGAAGGCAGCCAGAGCCCTAGACAGTGCCTAATGCATTATGTATGAATGTGAATTCCGTGTTTTGCCAAGAGCCGCGACAGAAAACTACTAGCCACAAAATTTTATTATATTCCAGAAAATTCATGAGGAGTTATGAAAATTTATGTGAAGGCTTATTGCGATTTATGTTTTCTTAGACAATATGTCTTTGCTTTTATACTCGACGACTCCCCCTCGAATTCAGCAATTGCAAAATATTTTTATTGGTTCGGAAGGCATATTTATATACAGTATGACACGTTTTTCGGGTTAACACCTCTGGAATCGTGAGAAGGCTGTGGACTTTCCTTAAGCCAGTTTTACAATTTACTTACATTTTATTGATGTGACAAAAGCCTGGCCTACTACGATCTTTTCACAGGGTCGTTTTTCCAGAAAGTGTTATTAGGCTTTTTTTTTTATCAAAAAGATAATATTACCAGGCTATTCAACACTCATCAAAATATTCATATATCAAATTTGATCGACAAATGTCTATTTAGTGTTTTTTTTATGGAGTGCCAAACTTCGAAAAACCAGACAACTAAAAATTTTAATAAGCAGGTCAAAGATTGCCATGAAAGTGAAAACAGATACCAATCGGATAAAGAAAAAATACAGACCCTATAAATTTAAGACATTTAATTGTGACCAGAGTAAGTAATAATAATTAAAGTACAAAAAATGTAATGAATTATGAATATGTACTAAGTTATTAAACAAAAAATTACAAAACGTTAATCCAAATTAAATATTATTTTTTTCTACCAAACCTTCCATTCGAAACACATTTCTCCAGTCGTCTTCTTAATGGCAAAATATTTATCTTTACAAAATAGAGATTGTTAGATTAAGGGGTGAAAATTTCAATAGTTTTAGAAAAAAATGCCTAATAGAGTAGTTTCAAAATCTCATGAGCCGCGAAATGCGCGAAAGGTGTGGCATATCCGCATAATTCTTCTAATAAGCACGTTGTGAAAACATTGACTCAGAATTAGACCACGTGCCTCATTACAATCGGAAATGAACTAAGGCGCTCGGGCATCAATAAAGTCAACTGGCGAACGTTCGTTATATATATTTTTATTGCTTTAATTAAAATAATAAAGAATAGAGCATTTTATTATGATATTTGTAATCGCAAAAAGGCTTGTTTACTCTACGAGAGCTCGAGATAGACTGTGAATAGTGGATGTAATGTTTTTAGGACGTAGAATAATTTAGACGACGGTCGGAATTATGTTTCTGCGCATATCAAGGTCAAAGCTCCTAAGATTTTGAAACAACTCTACCAATTTTTGGAAAAAGACACTTTTAAAAAATCGTAATAGGCCATGCTTTTGTCACATCAATAAAATGGTTGGTAGAATATAACTTCCTTTCAGGGTACTAATTGTAAAAAAAATTGGCTTGCGGAAAGTCCACAGCCTTCTCACAATTCCAGAAGTGTTAATCTGAATGACGGGACTCACTGTGTAGACAGAGTTTTACTTAAAGTTGTACAATTGCAGTTTTGTAAGTGCCTTCCAGTTTAGGTTTAACGACTAAAACTAAAACTTTTAAACAATGTCGCCCGCGTTTTTCAGCGTGCGGATATGGTACATATTATTCTACGCTATTTTTACTATCTGCTCACAAAAAAAACAGCCTGACCGAAGAATTATGCATGAAATGGCCGTTTTCGGGCTAGATTTCCTGGTCTGTTGAAATGAAAAGTTCCATGGTGAAACTGGATTCCAAAACTAACATAACGGGCTTATTTTTTGTGTTAGACATCATTTTATTAGTATTTGCTATTGTAACCGTAGAACAAGCAGTATAAGAGGTAGTAGCAACAATAACTGTAAAACGAGCAGTAGTAGAGGCTGATGTCGTTCAAAATTTTCTTCCCAATCTTGATTCTGTGGTCTGTTTTTTTAATGTTCGGTGCTTCGTCCAGATTTATTTCAGATAAATATGGTAACACGTCGGTAAGTTATACAAAACCAATGTTTGACTATACAGGGTGTTAAAAAAGTAGTGTAAAATATTTCAGGAGGTAATAGTATGAACCAAAATAAGCAGAAAAGTCTTAATAAACATTGGTCCGCAAAGTAACGGTTGCGGAGATATGGACCACTATTCGTTTTTCAAACATTTTATTTTATTAGGAATAAACCGACAAAGGAAGCTTTTAACAAACAAAAAACAAAGTTACAGAAGATGTTCAAAGTGCCCTCCGTCCATTTCCAAGCAGGCACGACATCTTCGTCTCAACGATATTCGAACTCTTTCGAAAACACCCTCCTTGGTTTGGATTTCTTGACACTTTTGATTAATCCGTAGCTGCAGCTCTTCCAGGCTATTTACAGGAGTACCATACACTAATGTCTTCAAATATCCCCAAACAAAGAAATCTAGAGGGTTCAGATCAGGCGATCTTGGAGGCCATAAAACAGGTCCGGCCCTTCCTACCCATCTATGTGGAAAAGTTTGGTGTAAATGCTCTCTAACGGCCATGGAAAAATGAGCTGGAGCACCATCATGCTGGAACCACATTTGTTGCCTCTGATTCAAAGGAATGTCTTCCAAAAACTCATACAGTGTGTTCTGCAGAAAGTTGAGGTAAGCAGCGCCTGTTAATCGGTTTGGTAAAACAACAGGACCTAGAAACCTGTCACCTACAATACCCATCCAAATGTTTAATGAAAAACGTGCCTGATGTCCAGATTCTATTAGAGCATGAGGATTTTCGTCGGCCCAAATATGCGTATTGTGAAAATTAAACACTCCATTTCTTGTGAACCCGGCCTCATCAGTAAAAAGAATGTTTGCAAGAAAACGAGGGTCTTCAGCATCATGACGTAGAAACCAGCGGCAAAAAACCAAACGTGCTTGATGATCATTTATTGGATTTAAGGCCTGTACTCGTTGCACATGGTATGGATAAAGCAGTTGCTCGTGAAGGATTCTCCAAACAAGAGGACCACTAATTCCTACCTCGGCTGATATTCTCCGCACACTCGTACCTGGATTCTGCTCTACCAGTGCTAGAATTTCTTCTTCTGCTCTAGGAGTGGATACCGACCTTGGTCTTCCGGATAAATGGCACTGTTTGCTCAAGGAACCGGTATCACGCAATCTTTGGTGAATTCTTCCAAACATGCGTTGTGAAGGAATCTGGCGATTTGGATAAGCGTCAACATAAAGACGTCGCGCTTCGGTGGCGTTCCCATTAGCACGACCATACATGAAATGCATGTCTGTTAATTCTGCGTTAGAGTAACCAGCCATAGCGAAAGAAAACTTGTGCACTGAGAACAACTGTCAAATACGTACTGTTTATTTCACTAAACATCAACCAACTATTATAAGAAAATACACAACGTTTTTGCAAAATAAAAAAAGGGGCTAAAAAACATAAAACATTCCATATCTCCGCAACCGTTACTTTGCGGACCCATGTTTATTGGGACTTTTCTGTTTATTTTGGTTCATACTATTACCTCCTTAAATATTTTACACTCTTTTTTTAACACCCTGTATTATTTTCCAGTGTAGATATCTAATAACTGATCTGAAAACGTAACAACTGACAGCGATAATAGTGCACTGATGCAACTTACCACGCTAATTTGATTAAAAAAAATCACATTCGTTTTTAGTGAAACACGTATTATTACCCTCAAAAAATTGACTCCCATCTAAAATGTTAAAGCATATTTTAAAGATTTTACTTTTATTCTAATGTTACATATTCCAGTTAAAAAAATTACTTATATCTTTTCAAAATCGAGTACATCCCTTCCTCATTTACTCTACGATATTTTGTAATTCTGATGTTCTACGGTCATAGTTTACCGGACCGAACCAAATTTTCCCCTGCAACGCGCAGAGACAAATTAATGGCTCCCGCACACGAAACATAGCCCCCCTGGGGGCCCGCAGTTTTAACGCATCGGTTACCGACCCATCTCGTACCCACAACAACCGTCCGTCCGTGATTAAGGAAGCCGTACTGACCTGCAATGACGACCTGGAAGACGCAGGGGTCCTTCTGACGGCCCACCTCGTTGACTCCGTAGCAGAGCAGGGTGCCGTAGTCGAGGTCCGAGACGGGGGTGTAATTGAGGCGGGAGGAGGTGACCTCGTTGGTGAACCTGTTGGCCGGAACGTCGGTCTGGTCCCCGGAGTTGTTGAACGTCCAGTGGAAGGTCACCACGGCGGGGTTGGCGTCGACCTGGCACCGGAGTGTCACGGTCTCCTGCTTCAGCGCCCCGTAGAGCTCCTCGCGCTCCTGGATGCACACGGGGATGTCTGGAAATGAGAGCGGCGTCAACGAATCACGTTGTTGTTATAGTATATACAGGGTGTCCCGAAATTCATGCAACGAAATTTGGTCCTAGATTCTTAAGACAAATTTAGGAGACCCGTATTTTCTCTTTTTGCCAATTGGCCCACTCTTTCGGAGTGACAGCCCCCTGAAATCTGCCCCTAAGAAGTCTTTTTTACATCTCAAAACCATGTTGTACGCGCATCACTAAATTTGGTACGCAGGGGTTTTATGACATGTGGAATCTCACCCCCTTAAGACAATTTTTCGTGGGCCCCCTTGCCTTTGGAGCCAAAAAAATTTAGTCGCATATTTAAATTTTCTAAAAATTATCAGTCCACTAGTCAGTCCACTAAATTTAGAAACTTTTTGTCCCTTTATACTTTTTTCGTAAAACTCAAAGATTTCGAGAAAAATGTCAAAATGTGATCGAATCACGATATGCATTCCTCAAAAACATTGCGTTTTACGAAACAAATATCAAGAGACAAAAAAGTTTCTAAATTCAATGGCTTTCTAGCTAACTAATAATTTAAAAAAAAAAAAATCAAATTTGCGACAAAATTTTTCTGGTTCCAAAGACAAGGGCGCCCACGAAAAAGTGTCTTAAGGGGGTTTCTCGCCAAAAAGCGTATAGCACTGTGAGATTCCACAAGTCATAAAACCCCTGTGTACCAAATTTAGTGATTCGCGTACATGGTTTTGAGATGTAAAAAAGACTTCTTAGGGTTGTCACTCCGAAAGAGTGGGCCAATTGGCAAAAAGAGAAAATACGGGTCTCCTAAATTTGTCTTAAGAATTTAGGACCAAATTTTGTTGCATGAATTTCAGGACATCCTGTACAGTAGCTTGTAATAGGCAACAATATACATGTATTTTTTAGATTAGGGTGGCCCAAAAAAAACGAAAATTTTTTTTCGTGTCTCGTGAAAATATGTTAGTATATCATGTTTTAAGACCTCCTCAAAAAATAAGCTCAAAAAAATTTAGAGGTCGCTGAAGATTTTTAAAAATTTCCAAAATCTTCTAATATTGATTTTTTTTAAATTTTTTTCTCGTTATTTTATCATTTTCTAGGTCTTTTAGAGGTCGATCAAGATTTTAAAAAATTTCCAAAATCGTCAAAAATTGAATTTATTTTATTTTCTTATTATTTTATCATTTTCTAGGTTGTAAAAAAATCTCGATTCTGAAAATTTCAAATCGATATTTTAATTTTAAAGGTCTCCCATACTTATTTTGACTTGCAAAGTAGTGTGCCTGTTTTCGAACGACCTCTAAAATAAATATCAACAAATAATTTTTTTTTATTGAATTTGATGAACAAAAGGATATAAATAAATCATGAGGCACTTAAATTTAAAAAAATAAAAAATTATAAATATTTGATACTCGCAGTGCCGTAGTAAATTTTGCCTCGAGAAATTTTTTAAGTGTCTCTTGATTTATTTCTATTCTTTTGTTCATCAAATTCAATAAAAAAACGAAAAAAAAATTAGTTTTTTTTGGGCCACCCTGGTCTAGATCTAACTTTCTAAACAAGACAAAAACTAAAAAAATCAAACAAAATAAAATTTTTTGGTTATCTTCAAAAGGCTGTAACTTCGAAAAAAATGGTCGTAGGTAGAGCAAAAAATTAAATTAGATTCTGAAATTTCTATTTTTAGGATCTGAAAAAAATCCAGCGGAAAATAAATTTTCAAAGTATACATTGAATAAAACATGTTAAAAGTATCTATTTAAAATCATTAAAAAATAAAATAAAAATAAAATGCTACGGAACACAGAGGGCAATGAAAAAGTAATTATTGTGTGGAAAAGTAAATACTCTAAATTTTTTCCGAAAGTTATTTACATGCATAAATTTAAAAGAATCATATTATACAGGGTGTCCCAAAAAGACACGAACCCAAGATAACTCTTCAGGCTGAAATTCTACCAAAAAAAGTTTAAGAAGTTGTACGATTTCAAAAAAACAATTTAGTGGTGACCATGTTTTTGACCTTGACTCCAATTTTTCAGATCACATCAAGGTCAACTTAAAAATTTCAGATAGAAACCCCTATTTTTTATTTTATAAATGCACCGGGTCCTCAAAAGTTTGCGGCCACTACAGTAATCTTCAAAGGTTGACAACTTCTTTTTTTCAAATGGAACACCAACAATTTTATGTCAGGAATATGTAGAATTAAATTCTGCGCCGATTGATATAGAGGTTTCCTATACTTATTTTCAACTGTTTCGATTATTTATAANAGTACAGTCCGATCGCACAAAGTTTTGTTAAAAGTAGACCTCATCTATACGGAAAATACATAATATAAAAATATTGAATATAAGCACCAGTACTACATTTATTTACGATTTGCATACATAATGAGCTTTTATTACTCACTTTCATTTCTAAACAGACTATAGGTGAATTACTTATACCATAAACAAATCTACAGCAACCATTCAAAACTTTTTGTAATCGATTTTGTGTAAATTTATGGAAACAGGTAAAATAAACTATAAAACAATAATTTACAATAGGAATTACTAGAGATTTTTTTACGTAATTTATAATTAAATACATATCTATTCATATTCAACATTTTTAATGCTGCATAACATTTCTGTATCAACAAAGAGACGTGTTTTTCAAACCTCAAATCTGTGTCAAACATAAGCCTCAAGTTTTTGATATGAGACTATATGCAGTCTCATATCAGTCCAATGACTTACCCTCAATATGCAAATATAACCTATTAGTTCAAGCATTATAGAGAAGTGATTACAGAAATTATTATCTGGAAAAAAATATGACCGTATGGGAAATTAAATTTTAAATTTAGTTTCTTGTTCTTTAAACTCTATCCAAAATGGCAAACATGACCAAAAAAAATTGCGAAGTTGTAAAAATCGGTTTTTCTAAAATAACCAACAAACTATAGCTCCTATCGAAAAATTTTAAATGAGAAAGTTGTAGGTTTTAAAAAGATCTATAGACTGATTTCGAAGTATCGATTGCTTAGTTACTTTTCGAGATATATCGAAAAAACCGTTAAAAATCTTCTCTTTTCTCTTATATTAATTAATTATTTTTCCAGATATATCGATTTCTTGAAAAAAAGGCGCTCTCGATAATTGCCTAGATCTTCTCAGCGGATGGCCCTACAGTAAGGATTTTTGGTTTATTTTCTTCGTAAAGAGTTGTATTACCATGCTGTTAAAAAATTTTGACGATTTTAATTTCAAGCATAAAAAAATTGCACTTTTTTGGGTATGTTTTTTTCACATAACTATTTTAATTTTTTCTTTATGACAACAACTTTTATACAGAGAAATTGCTGACATTTTTTCACAAATTAAAAGAATATGTTTTTCTAGGACCCTGTTGGGCTAAGAGGATGGGAGCTATAGTTTTAATATTTAAGAAAAACCGTTTTTTTTTTTCAACTTTGTGAATTATTTTGGTCATATTCGCCATTTTGGATCGAGTTCGAAGAAGAAGAAATCTAATTTAAAATTTAATTTCCTATACGGTCATATTTTTTCCAGGTAATAATTTCTGCAAATTTAACATTAGGCCGTCACAGAATGCTTGGACATTTCCTGCCGCTTGGTTTTAGAACAGAATAACATAAGAGCACATTTATTTGGATTAAGTTTCAGGTTATTGAAATTAGTATAATTAACTATGAATTCTAAATCTTTTTTATTTTATTAGAAACATTTTCAGTGTCACTGAGAATAAATTAGAATTGTAAATTTGTATCATCAGCGCAAGACAATATACAGGGTGTTAAAAAAAGAGTGTAAAATATTTAAGGAGGTAATAGTATGAACCAAAATAAGCAGAAAAGTCTCAATAAACATGGGTCCGCAAAGTAACGGTTGCGGAGATATGGAATGTTTTATGTTTTTTAGCCCCTTTTTTTATTTTGCAAAAACGTTGTGTATTTTCTTATAATAGTTGGTTGATGTTTAGTGAAATAAACAGTACGTATTTGACAGTTGTTCTCAGTGCACAAGTTTTCTTTCGCTATGGCTGGTTACTCTAACGCAGAATTAACAGACATGCATTTCATGTATGGTCGTGCTAATGGGAACGCCACCGAAGCGCGACGTCTTTATGTTGACGCTTATCCAAATCGCCAGATTCCTTCACAACGCATGTTTGGAAGAATTCACCAAAGATTGCGTGATACCGGTTCCTTGAGCAAACAGTGCCATTTATCCGGAAGACCAAGGTCGGTATCCACTCCTAGAGCAGAAGAAGAAATTCTAGCACTGGTAGAGCAGAATCCAGGTACGAGTGTGCGGAGAATATCAGCCGAGGTAGGAATTAGTGGTCCTCTTGTTTGGAGAATCCTTCACGAGCAACTGCTTTATCCATACCATGTGCAACGAGTACAGGCCTTAAATCCAATAAATGATCATCAAGCACGTTTGGTTTTTTGCCGCTGGTTTCTACGTCATGATGCTGAAGACCCTCGTTTTCTTGCAAACATTCTTTTTACTGATGAGGCCGGGTTCACAAGAAATGGAGTGTTTAATTTTCACAATACGCATATTTGGGCCGACGAAAATCCTCATGCTCTAATAGAATCTGGACATCAGGCACGTTTTTCATTAAACATTTGGATGGGTATTGTAGGTGACAGGTTTCTAGGTCCTGTTGTTTTACCAAACCGATTAACAGGCGCTGCTTACCTCAACTTTCTGCAGAACACACTGTATGAGTTTTTGGAAGACATTCCTTTGAATCAGAGGCAACAAATGTGGTTCCAGCATGATGGTGCTCCAGCTCATTTTTCCATGGCCGTTAGAGAGCATTTACACCAAACTTTTCCACATAGATGGGTAGGAAGGGCCGGACCTGTTTTATGGCCTCCAAGATCGCCTGATCTGAACCCTCTAGATTTCTTTGTTTGGGGATATTTGAAGACATTAGTGTATGGTACTCCTGTAAATAGCCTGGAAGAGCTGCAGCTACGGA